AATACTGACAACGATAATTTAAACTTCTTAAATGAACAGTTGTTTTTCAGTTTATTTATATATATAAAAGTTGTTTGTTTCTGTGTAAGCTGTTATTTAAAAATTCAGTTGTTTCATTTAATCTATTCTTGCATACTCTGAAACAATTTAACCTTGTTAATTACAAAGCATAATAAACTTATGTCTCTTTCTCTTGACAAATTCATTCAACTCACATGATTAGTTTGTGCATCAAACTGAAAATTATAAAAACTACTTGCAAATGCTTAAGGAAGCCATTTAATTTTATAGTATTTAAACTTTTGGAATTTGCTTTTTATTTAATTATAAATGCTGAATCATTATGAATAATTGCTAAACAATTCATATTTTAAATATTCCAAATAAAAGTTGAGAGTCAAATTTTATTTAATAAAAGGAAGTTGTCATAAAAGTTAATAAATGATGATTGATAAAAATATTTTAAATAATTATATTAAAGTTTATTAATAAACTTGACATCTTAAATTTAAAAAAGTTAATTGATCTGTATGAAAAAATCATAGCATGCTTTTTCTCAATGAAATGCAAATGAGATTAGGGAATAATCAAATTATACCCAACTTTATATTTATTACTTAAATTATGTAATAAAATAAGTTCATTTTTAAACATTTTTTTTATTAAATAAAACCAATCATCTCTCTTCAATTATACTTACAGTAAATCTTTGATTTAATGGACTAATTTGAGAAGGGTGTGTTCACTTTTGCAAAAGTCTAGTAAATCAAATATATATTTTTAAAATATATAACAACGAACTTATGATGTACAACGGGTATTAAAATTCTGCCATAATTTATAAGTACAAATTAAATATTATAATATGCATTGTGTAATTTATACTCTTTGATTCATAGACTTACTCCTTTATGGCAAAAATTTTTCTTTTAAATCCAAAATCCATTAACTTGGAGTCTGAGGAATTATATTTCTTCTCTCCAATTTTGTTATTTTTCAATGAATGATTAAATTGTTCTTTAGACTTAAAATGTGAAAATTATAGATCATAAAATCAGTTTCTATAATAAATGAAACATTTAAAATGTTTAATTTAACAAAAAAATTTCTGATTTTAAGGAAAGACTCGTTTTAATTGAATATTTATAGTGGCTGTCTTTAAGATAAATCATGTTTTACAAAAATTGATTATATTTAAAATTTATTGATTTTTATGTCCTAAAAGGTATTTATTAAATTTGATTTTGTATTTTTCTGCATATATTTGTCATGCATGTACTTTTACTATATTCTTTATTACTTAGATAACCAATATTTATGGATTTGTTTAATGAAAATTAATTCAAACCAAAGGATAGGAGAACAAATGAGAAAAAGTAATTAATACTGGTATTTTTTAATATATTTTATGATCAAAGTTTGTTTCTCTGCAACTTTACTAAATATTGGTGGCTTGCCAAATTAAAAATTGAAGATGGGATTTGAATGCCCAGTATAGGTTCCTATTTTTGTCTTTAATTGATTTCTTAGAAAGAAAATTACTTTACATCTTATACTAGCAATTTGGCAGATCTCTTGAATTTAGTTTGTCTCTAACTATTTTTGTTATTTTATTGACTATCTCAAAGTTATCTGCAATGAATTTCACTTTTTCTTAACCATCAATTTGGGTAGTATGGATTATATTACTGCTAACTTATGTTAAAGTGAGCCATTAAAATATTACTGGATCATATCAAATAATATTTTATTAAAAACTGGAAATTTTATCTAATTAAATTAATTAATAAATGTATTAAAATTTTATAAGTATAATGTATTAACTGTGTTTTTACAATAAAGAATAATTTATTCAATTAGAAACTTTTCAGAAATTTTTCAGTCATATTAAGCAGTGTTAGAAAAGTTTTGCAAATAGTTTTAATGTGTATAATTTGCTTTATTTGATATTGTTAATTTTTATAATTAATGCTATCTGATAAGACAAGACATTGATAGAATAATCCCCAGTATTTTACATACAGAAAATAAATATTCCTTATTCCTTGATGATAAATAGTTCAGTTTATCCTGGAAAGGTGTCAAATATGGAAGATGGTAATGGAAGAACTTGAAACAAATAATTAAGCTTTGATTTTTGTAAAGATAAAAATTTATGTAATAACATTATTCCATTACTTTCTGGTATCCAAAATATAAAGTTTTTAGTTTTAAATAATTAAATTTATATAGGAAAAAACCATTCTTTATTTTTTAACTATCATCAGCTCAAATAAAAAGATTTTCTGTTTATAAATGATTCCAGATTTTAACTCAAATTAATTTCATAGTGCAACAAAAGAGGAAAACAATTTTATAATATAGATTTAAGAAACTTCTATCATTTAAAAAGAAAAAAATTTTTGTAACATTCATAAACTTCAGTGTAAAGAGAGTAATAATCTCAAAACTTCTATATAACCTAGTTACAGAAAGAATTTGATTTGTCTTAAATATAGATTCTGTATAATGATGACTTTTCTAACATTTCAATGTTCACTTTCAGATTTACTATTCCCTTATACAGCTTGAACAAGTTGATAGTTGACCCAAAAGATTTCTGAATTTATTTTTGATATTAACTATCCAGAGCATAACTGAAACCACATTTTCTCTTTTTTCCTATATAATAAAGAAAACATTTTGACATGCTGAAAAGTTCAATAAATATATACATAAAGATACACATCTGTATAAAATAAAAATTAATATTCCTACTAAGTAAAATTATGAATTTCAATAATCAAGATATGCATCTAAGTATAATTTTATTTTGTACTTCAGTTTTTTTTTTAATCTGAAATTTTATGTAATAGTATATAAAATAATAATCAATAATTTCAATGGAAAATTATTTGGATTTTCTTGAATATAATTCTAAATTGCAATAAAAGAATTCAGTGATAATTTTATATGTCAGAAACAAAAAATGAATTACTTGATAAAATATTAAGTACTGAAACCATTCATTATGATCATTTCAAATTTATCATAAAAATCATTAATATTTCTATCTTTTAAATTTATATACAGATTTGTTTATTTAATAAGCAATTTATAATTTTACAAATACCAATTTAATTTAAAATCATAAAATTAACTTACTTTTAATATACAGTAGGAGTAATTTTAAATTAAAATATAATAATCTAAAGTATTAAATTTTATAAATTCTCTAATAAAATGACCATGCAATTTCTCTAATATAAAATTTTCTTTATTTAATATTATTCTAAGACATATTATTTTTAATAATAATAATTTGTTTCATTTATATAATTCATTTCATTTTAATAATTATTTTATTCATTCAAATTATGTAGAAAGTTTTTTCTTAATAGATGTTAAAATAGTTATAATTATATTGCTTTAAAAAATAGAAAAGCTAGATTTTATTTAAGAAAAAAGCTAGTAATAATTCACGAGTTGTGAATATTATGTGTTATTAATGTAATAAGGTAACTATTGGGTTGTTCAGAAAGTAATTTCGTTTTTTTTTCTGTGGAAAACAACACAATATTTTTATAATAAATAAATATTTTATTTAATTATATATTGACCATTTTGTTCAAATACCTGTTGTCATTGTTTCTGGTAGTAACATGATTTCACATTCATAAAAGTTTTGATCATTGCTTACAAAAAACTGATCCAAGTGATTTTTGACATTGTCATTTCAAGTAAATGTCTTAGTTAAAAAAAATTTGTATAGACTGGAACAAGTAATAATCTGAGTGTGCTTGATCTGGCAAATATGGTTGGTGTGAAAACATGTCCCATCTAAGTTATAACAGTTTCTGACCAGTTACCAAATTTGTGTGAAATTTGACATTATCAATTGGCCATCCATAACGTGGTGCATCTTCAATACTGAAATTGCAAGAACAAAATTTTGTAAACCAGTTTTTGCACTATTGTTCTGTCAACACATCTCCACCATACGTCACATGATTTCTTTCTTGCTTGAACGGCATTTTTATTTTTTTAATAATAAAAAAGCAAAATATGCTGAAAATGCTGCTTTCGACCTTCCATATTTGATGGGACACAAAAAATAAATAATTACACAAAATCAAACAAAATATTTTACAAATAAGCCTTAAAATGCTAGCTGTCAAAATATATAATGATGATATGGTTTAGAATGAAAATGGTGGGAAAAATACGACTAATCCATTTAGTAGTAAAAAAAAAAAATTACTGTCTGAACAACCCAATAGTTAATGTATATTTTCTTTAAATATTTAGTTATATTAGTAATTTTATGAAGTTTTCATGCAAATGCTATTAATAATGGAAATTTGTTGTCTTAAAAACTGTATAAATTTTGTTAAAGCAGAATTTTATAAAAATGAAATTCAATAAACTTTAATTCATAATTTAGATCAGTGATTCCCAAACTTTTTTGATCCACTGCCCCTTTGTTCCATAAAGTTATACTCAATGCACCCTAACCCATTTTCTCTTGTGTGAGAAAGGATTGGAAATATTCTTAGGAAAACTTTTCTATGAATCTCACACTTTGTGCCCTTAACGTACATTGTTCTAAACATCTGGAAACCATTAAATGCAATGTTTCTCTTATCAGTTTAATAGAGGAAAGTAATGGCTTTCAGTGACCCCAATTTTGCCTTTGGTCACCGTTCAATACCCTGCCTCCACCGCCCCCTAGATTTACTCATCACCCACAAGGGGGCGTTATTGCCCACTTTGAGAAATGCTGATTTAGATCACTCATAACTGTCATTTTAAAAAGCAAATAAATTGATTTGAATAATTGAATTTTGATAAAATGAAATGCAAATAAAATAAATAGGTGTAGATTGTGTGCTATCTAAATCTTATTTGACTTTGAGTTATATACAAACAAATGATTATTTAGAAAATATGTTTAACATTAGGATTCTATTTTAAAATGTTAATTTTTAACAAAATTTAATATCAATTTATTTTTATTTCAGAATGAAAGAATATAATCACAAATGTGTGATTATAAAATGATAAAAAGATATTGTAGTGTAAAGAGGTCAACGAAGATCTAAGAGAATAAAAATGGCCTCTAGTTGTTTTGATCTTAGTGCAGGAAGTGGGTCCTACTCAAGAGATGAATTGGCATCGCATTGGAGAGGCCACAGAAGAACAAAAAGTGCCGGTAGCAATGCTTCCAGGGATTTGTCTTTGTATACATCAATGGGATTATATACTCATCATGGAATTATGCCCAATTCAGAAGCTACAACAACTGAATTATGCCGTGCTGTTACAGAAACAACTTTTAGTAATAAATATGATTTTATTAGAATTGATAGAGGAGAGCGAATGCATTATGATCACGACCAACCAGGTTTGTAACATATTGATGTAATTATTTTAAAAATATAAGACTGATAATTGAAAATATTAGCATTAATAATTTAAATAACCCTTTAAGTTCTTGAAATATCATTACAAATTAATGTATTCGACTAAATAGTCTGTGTTCAAAAAAGTATGAATGGTTTTGAAATGAAGTACTGGTTCTTATTTTATAAGATTATTACTACAGAAATAAATTACTTTTAACATATTCTTTATATTATTTAAAATATACACAAGTTTTCTTGACTTGTGTATATAGTTAAACAAATCAGTTAAAACAAAATTCAACATTAGAATTTTGAAGCTTGAGCTTATAGAAGTTATTTAAAAATTAAAACTTTTATTTTATATAACAAAATAAATTACAAAAACTTCTTAGTTACTTGTGACTAGTGACTAATGAACAAACAGGTTTATTACACTCTCAGTCTATTTAATTAACTTACCCAAAATACATTTTGGATAAGTTAATTATTCGATAAAATCATATGTTAATAGTACAATTATTATAAATTATTACATACACCTTATTAATAGGACTGTAAGACAGTAACACAACAATACTAAACAAGTCCAGTAAAAACCTTGTGAATAGTCCTTCTGTCTTCATGGCTATGTTTTAATAAGATGTGACAATTAATAATGATGATAATAATACTAATAATAAGTACCAAAACAAACACTGATACACAGTACAGTGGCACACAAACAGAAGAAGAACTCACAACATATTGGTCTTCTCTTTGGTCCAATGCTGTTACACACAATGCTGATTCAGGCTGGATCGAGAAGGAGAACAGAAACTTGCACAACATACCAACTATGCCCTGTGCTGAAATAAACATACACGACATCCGCTATGCTGTTAACAGAACACACAACTGGATGACACCTGATGTAGACAACATTCACAATTTCTGGTACAAAAAGTTTACATCACTGCACCAGGAACTAGCTAAACACATATCATCATCTAACACATATCATCATCAACCACAAGACATGCCAAAATTTCTTACTCAGGGCATCATCTACATGAAACCTAAAAACAACACCACCACAGACCCCACACAATACAGACCAATTACATGTCTTCCAACACTCTACAAATTATTGACATCCTGTATCACAGACAAAATATACAAACATGTTGAAGAACACGACATTCTTACAAAACAACAAAAAGGTTGCCGTAGAAATCACAGGGGATGCAAAGAACAGTTACTCATAGATTCAATCATTCTATGGCAAATGCACAAACAACACAGAAACTTACATATGGCATATATAGACTACAGAAAAGCATTTGACAGTGTTCCACACAGTTGGCTGCTACATATTCTACACATGTACAAAATACATCCATCACTCATTGCATTCTTCCAAAACACTATGCAGCACTGGAGAACAACATACATCTCAGGGTTAGTAACACTTCCATATAAACAAATGAAATATTCATTAGGTGAGGAATTTTTCAAGGAGATTCCTTGGTTCTGCCTAGCCCTGAGTCCATTATTCAACATGTTAAACAACACGCAATATGTCTACAATATCAGACATGAAAAAACAACACAGTTTATGCTGTCACATCTCATGTATATGGACGACATAAAACTCTATGCATCCACACAAAAACAACTTTATCAACTCCTACAAATCACACACTCATACACCAAGGACATACAAATGGAGTTTGGCTTAGACAAATGCAAAACACTTCACATAGAAAAAGGAATCCTGAAGAAATAAGATTTTGCACTTGGAAATGGAGATGTTATTGAATCCATGGAAGAGGGCGAGTTCTACAAGTATTTAGGATTCCAACAGGCCAAATTAACAGAACATACACAAATAAAGCAAAGATTAATTAAAGAATACCAAAGTAGGTTAAACGCTATACTTAGAACACAGTTAAATGCAAAGCACACAGTTAAAGCAATAAACACATATGTCATCCCAGTACTCACATACTCTTTTGGAGTTATACATTGGACTCGCACAGATCTTGAGCAACTCCAAAGGAAAACAAGAACAACACTTACTAAGCAAAAACATCGTCATCCTAAATCTGCCATAGAAAGATTAACCCTTTCATTCTATTCATTCTATCTCTAACTGCATTACTATTTAACAAAAATTCACTATACCTTTAAAATGCAGTCTAGTTTACATCTGTCGAACGTTTTCGGTCTGATTCACAAACCTTCATCAGGATCNCTTTTGTGCCACATGATATGGTGGCAACATTGAAAATAGTTCATTATCATGGTGGAAAGTAAGAGGATTGATCAAACTTATTCAGGCTTATGAATGTCTGTGGGATTTTAATTCTTTGTTTTGTCAAAAATTTTATCTCTGTGTATTCTTGCAAGCTCTGACAAAATGATTGTATTTTTTTTTCTTTTGTTCATTGCAGAAAATAAACTGCTGGCCATTTTAATAAGAAAAGTGGCTAAAATTTTATAAATACTCTGAAGTAGAACATAAGCTGTCGGTAAACTCATGAGAGTAGTCAAAAACAAACTACTGCAATTTTATTAGTTTATTATGAGGTCATGTATTTTCAAGTTGCAATGCCAACAATGTGACCATAACAAGGTGCACGCAACTTTTGCTTGTTGCAGTTGTGGTCACCTGCAGGGCTGGAAATTGCAAGCTGTGACCACGACTTTTGATAACCTTTATAGTTATGTAGCTGATCTTATCCATTTTTACTGGGTGCAAAAGAATTACATTCTCCCTTTCTTCCATGGCTAATTAGAGAAGTTTTAGATGGGTCTAAAAATATGTTCAATTTTTCGCAAAACTCAAAAAACTGCATCTAAAATAGTACAGTAGAAGCCAAGTTCTTCAGGATAATCTTTAACCCTCTCCTTCTCCCCTGCTGGGTGGAATTTCCAAAAAATCCCTTCTTAGTATGCATTCTCATGGCATACTTTCTGTACAAAATTTTAACTTTCAACTCCTAATCATTTGGGCTCTACGCTTATTATCATTATCATTATTATTATTATTATCAACCCATCTCAATAATATTATAAGATATGTAGTCTTGGAGATTGTGAATGCTTCGTATAGTAAATACTGACCGACTGTGGGAGCTAAACTGATTAAAGAAGGGAATTTGTTATGCAAGAGAGCTGGTGGTTGTTATGTGAGAAGTGGCTGTAATCTGTTTATTGTCTAAGATGAAAATTTATTGATACAGTGAATGGTATTTTTACAAAGATTCTTAAGGCTCAATTACACTGGTTGAGTTTATTAGTTGTTTGCCAGCAAATAAATTAGTGAATGAGTAACAAAATTATTATTGGAAATGGGCTATTTCTTGCGGTTGTGAAAGTAATTTACAGTTCAGTTTAACAAATTCTGGTAAAATTTTTGTTCTCTTTGTAGTATGAAAAGTAACTTTATGACAATGGTGTTTTGCTAGAGCAATGGCAAATTTTGCTTTACGTCAAGAATTCACTTTATTGGTGTTTGTTTTAAGGCAAATCAACTGTATAAATATAGGAGTATTTGTAAAATAAATAAATGTGATTCATTGATTTGATAGTTCACATAGGACAAAATAAAGATGAAAAATATTTGTTTTATATAAATAGTTAAGAAATAAATCTTGAATTTAATATTAATTTAATTATTTTATAAATTTTTCTTTTATAGAATTATTCATTTGTAACAAATGCAATAAATTTCTATCATGACTTTCTGTTTTGTTTTGACAAAATATTTTGAATTATTTCTTAACTAAATTTGAAATATTTTGAACTTAAGTATATGAAATTATCTTATAGATTAATAAAATTTTTTTAATCTGTATTCCTATCTTAAAAATGATAATCATTATTGAACTTTGTTTCTTGGCTACTTTAATAGTTCTATTATAATGTGAGAATTGATCTGTTGAAGTATTATTAGTTTTTAAAGATAATGGAAAATTATAATTATCATCTAAATTTTAAATTATTTATTCTTATCATATATCTTAATATATAGGTATCATGGTTTATATCATAGGTAATCATAGGTATCATGGTATAATGGTAATATAAAGGTACAACATGGTTTGAGAATTGGGGAGACATTCCACAGAAGTCAGAAGACTGACTTCTGTGGAATAAATGCTTGATTGTGTGGTTCTAGTGCAGAATTCCACAACTAATTGTATATTTGAAAATATGTCTTCATGTTCTGAACCTTAAGAAGAACTGATTTGCTTGTATTTTGGTGCAAATTTTAAAATTATAAATTAATTACAGTATTTAGTTTTAAAATTATCCACTTTAATAAATAAGATTTGCATGCTTGCAATATATTCAAAAATGTCTTCAGGAAGATAGCTTTGGAACAACAATGATATGTTAAATCATATAAAGCACTCATATGTCAAAGGAACATCAAAGGAACTTAAAACAACCAGATCTCCCGATGGGTTTCTCTTTGTCCTATGTGTTGTCAGAACTACTTATGAGACAATTAGAACAGGGGATATTTCATTTTCCTATCAATATCATTTATCCAATACTTCTAGTATGTTGATGACATGCTTATAGTATAGGAAGACTCAGTTGATTTTAATAATTTCATCTGTATGCTATCTAGTATTTACCCCACTATCAAATTCACTGTAGAGACTACGGCACCTGATAAAACCATTTCTTTTTTAGATTTGCATATTTTTCATAGAGATCAAGGTGTAGAATTTGATGTTAAAAACTACATCTTTGTCAATCCAGCAAAAATTTAATATAATAAAAACGTTTTCAATCGTTTTAAATGATCTTCATCAGTTATAGAAAAATAAAACATTAAAATAGAACATAAAAATGATTATGGAATAAATGTAAAAATTAATAGATGATGTCCTTGCAGATTAAATATGGATAAATAAAAATATCATAAATAAGGAAAAAGTATAAATACAATATACACTCTTGTGCAAAACTTAAGGATAATGTGCATTTACATAGAAAACATGTT